TTTTTTTCTGTTTTCTCCACACAAACATTTTTTTACCTTTAGGCAAAGAAGGAATATATGGCCATGCTTGCTGAGCAGACAAGTTTTACTAGGAAGACAAAGTGGTCAACTGCTAAAAAGCTTCTTGAAAATGATGAACGATACAAAGCAGTTGAGAGCTCATCGTCAAGGGAACAAATGTTCCGTGACCATGTAGAGAAATTGGGCGATGAAAGTTTATCAGTAAGTGTGCTTGTCCATGTATAGCATATACAGCTCATCTCATAGCCAATTTTTTGCCATGAAATAGAGATTTAGGACATTGAAGAAGAGGCGGAACGTGAAAAACGCCTTGCTGCAGATGCTGCGATTGCCGCCAGACAACGAGAGGTAAGGGTGCTAACGATTTATTGTAGGTGACGAGTTTTCATCTAAGAGAATTGTTTTGCATTAGGAGAGTTTGGTGATTTAAAAAAGAAAAAGGTACAAATTTTATAATTCCAAAACGAAGTTCGAGTCTTTTTTGCTTTTTCTTTAGGCTTTCGTTTCTTTAGGTGGAAGCTGAACTAGGTGATAAACTTCGAGAACGCGATTTGGAAAGTGAACGTCACCGTATGCAAGAACACCAAGAACGATTCAATGCCCTTCTTGTTGACTTGGTACGTGAGCTGAAGCCAAAATATTCTGGGGCTTAAAATCTGTTTGAAATATTTTCTTGTTCACATGTCTTTTAATAGAATTACTGAAGGTATCATTTTGAATTCAAAATTCGAACCTTTTTCAAGGTAAAATCGGCCGAGGCAACTTGGCATGAGACGAGACGTATTCTGCGCAAAGACGAACGATATGCAGAATGCGACTTATTGGACAAGGAGAAGAAAGAAAGCGCATTTAATGAACATATCCGGTAATTTTTAAAGCTGATTTTGTCACCTTCATAATGTCAGTCTTTACTTGTTTTGGTCGTAAGATAAATTTGATGGTTTCATGAATGAACTCAATTTTTGACTCTATATGTTCATTTGCTCCAGAAACCTTGAAAAGAAACGACGAGACGCTTTCTTTGCTGTTTTGGATGAACATCCAAAAATTACAACTCAAACGCGTTGGAAGGAAGCTAGACGTATCATTCAAGATGAGGAAGAAACATTCTCAAAGGTGGCCAGTAATAGCGAGAGGGTGAGCTTACTTGTTGGTAGTTTTTTTGTGCTCATTTGAAATCTTATCACTTGCTTACTCTTGCTCGGACTTAAAATTCTGTTTCAGAAAGTTGAGAGAGATTATCGTGACTGGCAGGAGCTACGGCACGACAATGCTGTACGTGAGTTCAAAGACTTGCTCAAAGAGACCAAAATCATTACATATAAGAGCAAACGCATGATCGAGGAAAATGAACAACATTTGAAGGATATTCTGGCTGTTCTTGAGGTTAGCACTTGTTTAAATGGTTTATTCTGCCTCTCATTGCTCTCATCTAGAACGACAAGCGATGGATGCGTATGTCTGAGAATCACGCTTCGGAACGTGATAGAATCCTTGATGAGTATATTGAAGTGCTGCACAGGAAAGGAACACCGCCCCCACCTACGCAACAAGAGCGTGAAAGGCGTAGAAAAGAGACTGCTTAATTGAAAAACCATATCCTGTAATATTATCTAATTTGCTTTGCTTCCTTAATCTAACCTCTATCTTATTTGATGGGATGGTTGATAGCTTTTTGCGCGGAATATTTTAGTCTTTTTCTGTACACTT